AATCATGCTTGTCAAATATCATGAACAGTTTTATTGTTAGTCTGATTTTTTTAGAAAAAACAATTTTATATGTCAAATGAAAATGTTATTTCAAATGTTAATTTAAAATACAAATAGTGTGTCTTCATCAATTTAAGACAATATATTGCCTAGAATTGACTTCTTATGCCAGCAGCCATAGGGGAGTAAACATTACATATTTATAGTGAAGACTGAAACTGGGGAGAATGTCCTCAATAATTTCACAGCTGATAACAATTGAGATATCTAATATGTGAGGCGTTACATCTTGCTTCACAGTTAGTCAAGGGTATCATTTGACATTTATTACTATAAAGCCATCTTTCAAATCACATGATTATCCAAGCAGTCCAAAGACACATTTCATACATGAATAGATGTAATCAAACAGTGCCTGGGTATATGATATAGAGAGTTGACACTTGTTCATTCATGTGTAGGGTTACATTTTGCAAAAAATTGTATTTTAAAACTTAGCAACAACACATGGTGTATGGAGATTTTTGAGCTTGTTTGAACTTTGAAATACACCCCATGTGTTCTTCCTCAAATAAGTCACTGATTACACAAAGCTATGTTCAACCACCTTTTTCTGATGACCCACTGTGACCTTTGAAATTCTGTTTTACCATGTGGTATTTTGTTATTGTAAACGGTCAAAGTTGAGGTGTGATTTAAGTACACAAATACCCATCAAGGTTGGAAATTGATGTGTTAGCCACATTGGGTCAATGAACTTTTAGTTATTTGTGCAGTATGCTAAAAGTAATGGGAAATGTCTTCAGTTGTATCAAGATAGTTTCAGATCGTCATTAGTTCTTTGGAAAGCCAAAAATAGTGAGTGGTATTTGCTGTCTGTCTGTTGTGGAGTTTATTTTGTGACATTTTAAACCAGGCATCCCCAGAATCATGGTTTGGTTGTACCTGTATATGAGTTTTATTTTGATCAGTCTCTATCAGACTGACTATATAATGAATGTATCATGTTTGTGGAGATGTCTGTTAGTTTGTTTGTTAGTGTACGCTAGTGATATTGTCTTCTGTTAGTGTATGCTAGTGATAGTCTTCTGTTAGTGTACGCTAGTGATATTGTCTTCTGTTAGTGTATGCTAGTGATACCGATAGTCTTCTGTTAGTGTACGCTAGTGATATTGTCTTCTGTTAGTGTATGCTAGTGATAGTCTTCTGTTAGTGTATGCTAGTGATAGTCTTCTGTTAGTGTATGCTAGTGATAGTCTTCTGTTAGTGTACGCTAGTGATATTGTATGCTGTTAGTGTACGCTAGTGATATTTTCTTCTGTTAGTGTATGCTAGTGATATTGTCTTCTGTTAGTGTATTCGGATGATATTGTCAAATAAAAGAACATTAAAATTGATTTATGAAAGCACATCTGGTGCTGTGTACAGGAAGCAATGTCTTCAAATCTTCAGCATCTTAAATCTGTAGTGCAGAAGTCATAAAACTAGGCATTTCAAAATCCCTTCATCACCAATAGAATTAATGTGAGCGTTGTATTTTAGTTTTACTCCATCAAGATTTGAATAAATCACACAATGTGATTGATTTCATTTTGCAGTTTAACATAACTGTAACTAAGGTGAAACTCAATAGGTATTCTTTCTAGTTGTGATATATGGTTTTACATGTATAGAAAGAACTAACTCAATGTTTTCACAAGGAAAAACCGTGTTTAATTCATATGTATTATTTTATAGATGCTCTTGTAGACATTGAAAAATATCCTTTCTTCTGGTGGTTCAGGTTTCTTTTTGGGTATTATGTTTCCACACATTTTGAGATTTTTAAGCTGGCTTAGTTTTCTTTTTCTCCCCTTTTGACCCGTGTCCATTGTGCTTGGTAATTCTATATTTAGCACAGAGGGCCTGACATGCATGTAGAGGGCAATGGAGTTCAGAATGTGGGCAGATAATTGTGTCTTCATTATCCATATTGAATGACAAACAGAAAAATTGCTTTTAACCCCCCAACGTTCTGAAATTTGTTTTGTCAGGTTTTAATATCCTGTGACTCAAACCTTTGAGGAGGGGAGGGGGAGGAAGTGGGGGTAACAACTTAATCTTGAATCATGACCCTGAGTATGTATTTTCAAAATGGCTGCCAGAGTTAGGGGTTAACGTCATGATAGGGACTTCCCATAGAAACAATAACTATGATTCCCTATCTTTTTATTTGATTTTTTTTTATTAATTTTATGGAAACTTTTGCTTTGCAAATTATCAAGAATTTGTGTGCCCTTTAAATTTTGCTCTTTTTTAGTTGTAAATGGTGTCCATCTTTTTTAGCTCCGCTGTCGACTTTGTCGAGCGGAGCTTATCATATGAGTGATTGTCCGTCGTCGTCGTCCGTGTCAATGTTTTACTTTTTCGACTTCTTCTTGAAAACTACAAGCCTGAATGCTTTGATACTTGGTGTATATGTACCTTGGGTAGACCTCTCTTAGGTTTGTTCATTTCATGTTGATATCTTCAATTCTCTAATTTTGGTGAATATTTTTGTCATTTTTGGTAAAAAGTGATATTTTCGATTTCTTGTTAAAAACCGCAAGTGCAATTGCTTTGATATTACATATATAGGTACTACATTTGGACCTCTCTCAGATTTGTTCATTTTGTAATGATATCTTTAATTCTCTAATTTTGGTGAATATTTTTATCATTTTTGGTAAAAAGTGATATTTTCGACTTCTTGTTAAAAACCAAAAGTTCAATTGCTTTGATATTACATATATAGATACTACATGTAGACCTTTCTTAGATTTGTTCATTTCGTGATGATATCTTCAATTCTCTAATTTTGGTGAATATTTTGGTCATTTTTGGTAGAAAGTGATATTTTCGACTTCTTGTTAAAAACTGTAAGTCCGATTGCTTTGATACTATACATATTGTTCATTTTCTAATGATGTCTTCAGTTCTTTAATTGAAATGTGCATTGCTAACAGCGGAGCTATCTCAGCCGATAGGCTGCTTGTTCCCCATGGAGAAGAAATAAAACCAAAAAATTGTCCTCATATTCATTCTGAATTACTGTTCTCAATCTACGCCTCACTATCATTTGATAATACTAAGCATACTTACATGTTGATAACATGATGACTAATATGCATGTGACAGTTGTTTGTAAAATTTCATTTGATTAGCAATTGAAGGGCTCTTCATTTTAAATCCAAGGATTAGAAGGTTTGTAGAAAAAAAAAAAAAATCATTGACGAAGTCAGGAAAACAAAATTTGTGTGACATACATGTAGTAGATGAAAATTTGATGTGCGCTAGAATTAACAACATTGCTGTTTGACTATGTAGATAAAATATTTATAAAAAAAAATATTTCTCCATCATTTCTGAGAATTATGAATAAACCAATGCTTGTAACTGTACACATGTCCTTGTGTTTGCCCTGTAGGCATGCGTAATGTTGTCAATCACATCCCCATATGTAAACATGTTTTTATGAATCTTTTTTAGATTTTAAAATGGACAACCTTCTTAAAGTGCAGAGCAACCCTGAATATATTTTAGGTCATGGGGGATGTAAAATAGTGTTGCCATGGTACTGACTTATGTCATTGTGTTATTAGTCATAGTAGTGTTACTCTCTCTGTCTGTTGTAAGAAGTGTACCACACTGACCTGGCTGTACTTACACTGCCGTGCACTCATATTGATGATTTTAAAATAAGATCTTTAACAGGAATGGATGCAGACGCTTCATTTTAATGTTCCAATCATTAGTGTATTCAAGCAGTATTTTGTCTAGACATACATGTACGCTGTGTGTATATGTATGATAACAGGTTTTGACTAAAACAAAAAAATAACCTTTTGGTTTGATGACACCCATGAAAGGACCCTGACATTTTACTATAGTCAGATACAGCAATAATATATAACAGTCTTGATGGTTATATAGGCGAATACTGGTGTCTGTAAAGGATGTAGAAATAAAATATAAATCTTTAAAAAAGAAGAAAATCTTGCCAACTGTATGTAGGTCAATCACGATGGCCTTGTTTGTTATTAATGGCTGGTACATGTAGGCAGTTACATGTGTTCGTAAATCAATGTGTTAATAATGTTGAACCCTTTTTACGTCTGCCTTAACTGATGTTGATTTCTATGATAACTGATAGTCAGCTGAATGTTAATTTACATCAAATCGCATACACTGTATAGTAGCAAAATGTATATATTTTTTCATTTGATAACAATTTTGAATAATTAACACACATTACCGTACTTCATTCATTTTATTTGTTCACTCATACTCTATACTTCATCCGGTGTTCATTAACATCTACAGTTTGTTCAGCTGCCTTCCAGGCATCAGTAAGTCAGGAGAGAGGGCTACAAATAATTGAATAGTTTACATCAACAATCAGAGCACATGCTAGCTGTACTATGACCCCATTTTCAAAATGTACACAACTTGTATTATTCTCTGTCCAATTCAGTTCTCATAAAACTGCTTGCTGTTTGGTAATTAATGTTTTTTATTAGACAGGTGTTGTTTTTGTTCCTAAATAGTTTTTTTTTATTGTTTATAATTCAGTTCATATGATATTGTCTGGACAAGTGAAGTAGGAATTTGCAGTTATATGCATGAGGGTTGAATGTTTGATTTGAAAAGCAATGTGTTTTTTTTGTGTACAACTAGAACAAAGGTAAAACAAAAAAATAAAATCTTAGAATGCAAAACAGACATTTAACATTCTTTGATAAGTGAAATATAGTTATCTATTTTGCCGTGATGCTTATGCGCATACCATCGTCCTCACTCAAAAATCTCTTTCTAAATAGTAATCTTTTTCAAATTTCTGTACATGTGCTTATTGTTTCTTTTTTCATTCTCAGATAAAAAGACAATTAAGCACCCTCCATCCAAAAAGAGGCGTCCATCTTCCCGTCCAACTAGTCCTCCAGTACCGGCAAGTACACCGCCCTCTAGAGGCGGTAACAGTGGACGTTTAATACCGCTGTCGGAACGTCAACAGTTGGCTATGTTGATGCAAATGACTAGTGAGGAGCATTCTCCAGGTGAGCCTTAACCCATTCTTGAAGCCAGGGAAGATAATTGGGAAGTTAACTGACATACACATTCCTGTCAAATAATGGGAATATTTGCCATAGTTTTGACTTTCAGTATATTATTTTTACATGAACTCCCTAGGAATATTTTAACAAGTCACCGTGAACTCCCTAGGAATATTTTAACAAGCAATAATGAACTCCCTAGGAATATGATATCATTAATTTTGTAAAGTCGTGCTGATTGTTATGTAGAACACAATAGAACGTTTGCCCCTATCTCACCGAAACGGCAAGCACCTCAGTACTGCTCAAAAGCTGGACTGATTTGGTTCAAAGTTCGAAGTCAGAATTGCACATGCATTAGTTTTTTTTTTCATTGTCCTTTGGCCATCTGGCGGCCATTTTTGTCCCCCAGAACAACAACAAATCGTTTTGAGATGTCCTCCACCGTTTCCCAGACTTGCCTTGGCTGATTTCTTCTGAATTTGCTGTTATTACTCATGGTGGGTTACTGAAGCAAATCAATCATTTGCATAGCCTAACAGATACCATAGACTGGTTGAAATAATTCAATTGGTATACTGAGCAAGATTAGACATTCTTGTGATTTGTCACCAACCATACAACTGTCATCTGGTACTTTAGTCATGACCGTTTAAGATAATGCGTACTGTGTTATGATTGACCGCACCCTCATGTCTATTTTCAGAGTCCACGTCAAAACAGTCTCCACAGACACCAACTGGGGTACGGAAAACCTCAATTATGACAACCCCGACATTTGGTCTAACATCCAGTGCTATAAAGGCAAAAGTGAATAAACGAAATGAGAAAGGAGAAACACAGTTACATATAGCTGCTATTAAAGGTGACATTATCAGTACAAAGGCTCTGATAAAACAAGGAGCAGATGTCAATTGTCAAGACTTTGCAGGTAAGTTGCTAGGGGCTACTGTCACTTAAATACAATCAAAGAGAAATATTATCTCAGTGATTGGTACTACATAGAAACCCAACAAACAAACTACAGTTAATTCCCAGCCACTCCCTATAGCTTCAGTACATTGCATGATTAATACCTATCCACTTTCAGAAACGTCCATCCAGCTCCCATAGTTTCAGTTCAATTATTGTCAATCCAATTCCCATAGGGTTCAGTTCAGTTAATTCCCATCCAGCTCCCAAAGTCTCAGTACAGTTTTATGTATTTATGGTTATTGTCCATCCAACCCCCATATGTCTTGTATGGTTATTGCCCATCCAATCCCCATATGTCTTGTATGGTTATTGCCCATCCAATCCCCATATGTCTTGTATGGTTATTGTCCATCCAACCCCATATGTCTTGTATGGTTATTATCCATCCAACCCTCATATGTCTTGTATGGTTATTGTCCATCCAATCCCCATATGTCTTGTATGGTTATTGTCCATCCAACCCCATATGTCTTGTATGGTTATTGCCCATCCAATCCCCATATGTCTTGTATGGTTATTGCCCATCCAATCCCCATATGTCTTGTATGGTTATTGCCCATCCAACCCCCATATGTCTTGTATGGTTATTGCTATCTAATCCCCATATATCTGATATTGTTACAGCATCAAATAAAAGTCCTGCTTTATCAGTATTGTTGTACTATTGTCAGCTCCACACAAAGAGAACTACAGTGCTTACCTGTAGTCATATTTCATATTTCCACATTATACAGTCCATTTTTCATCACTGATGTTTTTTCAGGCTGGACACCACTACATGAAGCTTGTAACCATGGTTTTTATGATGTTGCCCGGCAACTACTGGAAGCTGGAGCGAACGTAAATATTCAGGGATTTAATGATATCACTCCCCTACACGATGCAGCTGTTAACGGACATGTTAAGGTAATATTCAGTTTTGTTGTGTTTATTTTTCAACATTGAAATTATGAAACATTATAATGGTTCAATCAGTTACAAAATAAGACATTTCATCAGATTCCAGTTATCATAACTATAATTTCAATAAATTATATAATTTATATATTAGTATATTTTTATTATAGAAATGGTAAATTTATAAAGGACATGTTTTTATTTACTACTACAGTCCAACTTTAAATTTCCAAAGCATAAATATGTTATTTCAGGAGTTACCCTGGAAACATATCTCAAAACGTTTAAAAATTCAATAATGATAAATATTATAGTATGGCTAATGCATTGAATCCATTAGGTAAACCCTGTACAAACAAATATTGGTTATGAATAAATTATTTTTGGTTGTTATTAGAATACTCTCTGATTATATTTTGCTGACTATTATTGATGTTTAAAATAATTATATAATAAAAAGCTTGGCTTTTAGAGAGACCTGTATTGTATTATTTCCTGTATTCATGTTATATAATTCAGAGGATGTTTTTAATAATTAAAAATAATCAGATTTTACCATACACCATAATAATTACAGTTGAATAATTATAAAGTAGTGTTCTGAGTAGGTGGGTCTAATTACTGTTTAATTGACATTATCTTAATGATTGTTGATTGTTTCAAGCATTCAAATCAGGCCACTGTTTCATCAGATAAGATAATTTTTGGATGAGTCTTTGGTAATTTCATTACTAATTGAATATTGATATTATTCATCAGAATTTTCTGATGACATACCATTCATATTGATAGGTTTGATTTTTCTTCCCCATATGTTACCATATACCCCATACATCATTGCCATAAGCATGTTCTATTGAGATATGATGAGTTTTCCTTGTCATAGGTATGTTCAATTGAGATATGATGAGGTGTCCTTGTCATAGGTATGTTTAATTGAGATATGATGAGGTTTCCTTGTCATAGGTATGTTTAGTTGAGATATAATGAGGTGTCCTTGTCATAGGTATGTTTAATTGAGATATGATGAGGTTTCCTTGTCATAGGTATGTTTAATTGAGATATAATGAGGTGTCCTTGTCATAGGTATGTTTAATTGAGATATGATGAGGTGTCCTTGTCATAGGTATGTTTAATTGAGATGTAATGAGGTGTTCTGGTCATAGGTATGTTCAATTGAGATATAATGAGGTGTCCTTGTCATAGGTATGTTCAATTGAGATGTAATGAGGTGTTCTTGTCATAGGTATGTTCAATTGAGATATAATGAGGTGTTCTTGTCATAGGTATGTTTAATTGAGATATGATGAGGTTTCCTTGTCATAGGTATGTTTAATTGAGATATAATGAGGTGTCCTTGTCATAAGTATGTTTAATTGAGATATGATGAGGTGTCCTTGTCATAGTTATGTTTAATTGTGATATGATGAGGTGTCCTTGTCATAGGTATGTTCAATTGAGATATAATGAGGTTTCCTTGTCATAGGTATGTTTAATTGAGATGTAATGAGGTGTTCTTGTCATAGGTATGTTCAATTGAGATATAATGAGGTGTCCTTGTCATAGGTATGTTCAATTGAGATATAAGGTTTCCTTGTCATAGGTATGTTCAATTGAGATATGAGGTGTCCTTGTCACAGGTATGTTCAATCGAGATATGAGGTTTCCTTGTCATAGTATGTTTAATTGAGATATGATGAGGTGTCCTTGTCATAGTATGTTCAATTGAGATAT